TTTTTATTATGATAAAAATACACATACCATAAAATTTGCCATTTTAAAGTGTACAACCCAATGACATTAGTACAGTCACAATGTTGTGCCACCATCACCACTATCCAGTCCCAGAACATGCACAGCATCCCTAAAGAGAAACCTGTACTCATTCAGCAGTCACTCCCCATCCCCCACTGCCCCCAGCCCTTGGCAACCACCAATCTGCTTTCTGTCTCCGTGGATTTGTCTGCTCTGAATACTCATATAAGTAAATAGGTTCACATACTATGTAGTGTTTTGTATCTTTGATTGATTCCCCTCTGCCATTGCTGTAAGTTACCTGATCCCACTGTTAATATTACCTGCCCTCACCTTAATATCAGGGCCTGTCGATGAGAGGCATGATGGTCCATTTTACATGTCAACTTGGGTAGGTTATAGGCCTGTTATTCAGTCAAACATGAATCTAGGTGTTGCCATGGAGGTACCTTGCAGATGTACTTGGGTTCCTGGGACTATTTTATTAACTAATTAACTATTAATTAGTTAGAAGGTCTTAAGAGCAGAACTGAGGATACCCTGAAGATAAAAAAGAAGAAATTTCACCTATGGTCAGCAGTTTCAGCTCAAGCCCAAGAGTTCCAGTAGCCCTTCCTAGTAGCCTGCCAGATTTCAGACCTGCCCAACCAGTCCCCACAATCGTGTAAGCCAATTCCTTGGAATAAATCTCTTAATATATATCTCCTATTTGTTTTGCTTCCTAGTTGAACCCTGACTAATACAGGAGGGATAAAAGGGCTTATATATATTCTGCTTTTTCCAGTCCACTGAAGTTGGCTACCTAAGGGCTAATGCTTACAGAGCTTTAAAGATGCCCTATCTTAAATGGTTCTTTAGACAGCCTTTTGCCCGGATGCCCCAGCCAATAACTACTACTTGCCTTAAGAGGAGGGAAAAGCCTGACTCTGTCTGTATCCTGGGTTTAGATTCATATTTGCTGACCAGGTGTTCGGCCGATACTGCATATGACTTGTCAAGGAGGCAGGTGTCTCACAGTTCTGAGACTACTCTCGGTTGTGTTCATGATGCTGAGAGACCTGGAGAGCACGGGCATAGAAGTCTTGAGTTCTTAGCCCTTTACCCAAAAACAGGCAAGGAATTCTGCCTGCATGCATAATTCCCTCTGAAGAAATAGCCTAAGCATACTTGTTCCAGCTCATCTTTGTCTACGGAAATCCTACTCATCCTTTAAAGTTCACCTCAAAGACACTCTACTTGACAGTTCATCCCAAGTCCCCAAATGAAATGAAATGTGAAGGCTTCCCTTTGAATTCCTACAACACTCTGTATCTCTCTTAGAACATTCATCACACTCTGCCCTTGATTTTCATTGTCTGTGGACTCGTGCCATCTCCTCCCCTTCCGATTATGCTAGTGATGTGTCACTCATCTTTGGGATCCTACAAAGACCAGCACAGTGTCTATTAGGAGACAGTTCACTGAAATGCATTCAGTCCTGAGGAGTCTGGGAGAAATGGGAGCCAGAGAGTCCATTTTTAATCCTTTTGGGTCAAAGCTGGGTTTTCCTTTTCTTCATTCTTTGTCTGCTCCCCACCCTGCTCTCCCTGTTCTACCAAAACTAAAGGAAAACACTTGAATTCCATTGCTGCCATGGTCCAAATAACTCTTCCTGGAAACGCTAGGAAGT